ACAAGAAGAGTGTGAAGGATGGAGTGGAATGGGGAGATTTGAGATAGTGAAGTCAATTAAGAGACTACTTCAATAGTCCAGGTAAGAGGTAATGGGAGCCTGACCTAGGGTAATGACTGTGAATGGAGAAGGGAAGAGATTTGAGAGAGGATGTTTAGTCTGAATGGACAAGACTCGGCAAGTGATGGGATATGGGAAGTGGAGGTGGGGGGGAGGAAGGAATTGAAGATGGTTCCAACATTACAAATCTAAAGGGAATGGTGACCTTGATGGAAATATAGGAGCTCAGAAAAGGGGTGGACTTTGGGGGAAACACAATGATTGCTCGGGATATGCTGAGTTTAAGACGCCTACTAGACATCTGCTGCCTTGTCTTGGGATGTTTCTTAATGGAGGTAAAAGACTTGCTCATTTGAAGGGTAACTTCTGGCTGGAATGATATTTATGTGTATTTAAGGCTGAAAACTCCAGAATCCCCAAATATACACGTCCTTATCCCCACATAGCTCAATATAGGAGGGTGAGTGCACTATCTAGAAAGTGCCCCAGAGCCAGAAATAGCAAAGATTTCAGGTTGATGTGACATCCATACCATCTCCACACCCTTCCTTTTGGGGTATTAAGATCTGAAAATTCCAAGGTCCTTGAAACCTGACAAAAGCAGCTATAACTTACATCTAGGCTCCTACCATAAGTCACAAAAACTATAAAATTGGCATCACCTCTGATCTTAGTAACATCATTGACTAAACTTGTTTACTATGTATCTACTATAATTTGGCCTGGAAGTGAGGCAATGTCTTGTTACATTAAGATCAGTGGATTTAGAAAAGATAGGCTATTAGAAACTCAAGTCCACAACTCATGGGGGAATAACCAAACAAGCTATGGTACACTGTATCTATTATTGCTATCCTGCAAGAAAAGATGAATATAATGAATTCAGAGAAGCTGGGGAAAACTTATTTGAACGGATGGCAGTCAGGTAAGCACTACAAGAAGCAACTACAACATAAATGGAAAGAACAACAAAACATTTGAATCTGAATGCTGTGAAATTATAATGATCAAGTTTGGCCCCAAAGAAAATATAGGATTCCCTACTTCCTTTGTCCCAGAGGTAGGGGGTTAGTAGTGTAGAATACCATAGATAACATCAGACTTTTTCAATGTGTTGGTTAATTTTGTTCTTTGGTATAAGGAATGGCTCTCTGGGAAGAGAAACAAGGATATCCTGGAGAGTGTAGATATAAAAACAAAAGATATCAACAAAGTACACTTTAAAAAATACTCAACATGTGGACATTTAGCCTGTGCTTGAAGACTGCCAATGAGTGGGAATCCACTTGGGGACAACCCACTCCACCTTCAGGTAGCTCTGATCATCTCTTAAGCTTTTCACGACATCAAACCCAAGTTTGGCTCTTTGCAGCATTCATTCATTGTTCCTGCACTTCTGCCCTCTGGAGCCAAAAAGAACAAGTGTAATCCTTCCTCGTGACAGCTCTTCAAATATCTGAATATGACTCGCCTGTTTCTCCTGAATCTTTTCTTTTTCAGGATCAATATCCCCAATTCCTTCCATCAGTTCTCATGATCTGCACTCTGGGCTCTTCACCATCCTCACTGCCCTCTTCTGGATGCTTTTAAGTTTATCAACATCCTTTTAAAAATATAGTGCTCAGAACTGAACACGATACTCTAGATGAGATCTGAAAGAGGGATGATCTCTCTTCCACATTCCTAGAAGCTATGCCTGTCACTGCAGCCCAAGATCCTATCAGGTTTTTGGCTGCTACACCACATTGCTGATTCATGTGGAGCCTTCAGTCTTTACCATGCTCATCTTGTACCTGCAAAATTATTTTTTTTAACCTAAGTATAAGACCCTGCCTTGATGTCTACTGAAGCTCATTTTATTAGATTCAGCCTATTGCTTGTGTTGAAGATCCTTTTGGATCCTGACTCTTGTCATCCAGTGTGATTATGATCCCTCCTGGCTTTTTGTGTCCCTGAAAAGCATGCCATCTATGCGTCCATACCAGGAAAATTTAAATATTCCTAACACCCATATTTGATAATGTCACTCCCTGGCTCAAACACCTTCATTGGTCTAAGCCCCATCTACAATCTCCCCACAATCTCTCTCTTAACTACTTTTTCTAATTTATTTTATATTATTCCCCATTGATACTCTCTGTTTCAACCAAACTGGCCCACTAGCTATTCCCTGAACTCAGTATTAGGTCTCCTTATTTCTGTGACTTTGAACAGATCATCCCCCATGCCTGGAATTCACTCCCTCCTCCTTGCTGTCTTACAAATCCAAATTTCCTTCAAGGCTCAGCTCAGATGTTACAACATGAAACCCATAGTTAGTTGCTGGGACTCTCTGTCCTCAAACTGTCTTGTATGTACCTTTTTACAGTTAATGTTTGTGTAATTGTACTGTCTATTTTGTAGGAATGAAAGCTTCCTGAAGACAGGGAAGGGTTCCTTTTTTCCCTTTGTATCTCTGGTCCTAAAACAGCTGCTTATGCTTAGTATAACATTCATCAAAGGTTTGAGTTATTATGGGGGAAGAAGGACGGATGACAAATGGTGATGATGTTTCAAGCCTGAGTGACTAGGAAGATGGTGGAGCCAACTACAAAATCAGGACGTTGGGTCAACTGAGGGCAAGGTTTGAGGACCACAGATATAATATGGGCAACCGAAAAGCAATTAAATTGAGAGGCAGTGGGACACCACCACTGAAAAAAGAGTTGGATGACTCAGGTTCACAACCTGCTTCTGCCACTTGAAGCCTGTTTATATACCTGTAACGTATGGTTAATCATATTTACACTACCAGGTTGTTACAAGGAAAATTCTTTACCAACCATAAGGTGCCATATAAATGTGAGCAATTATTACACCTTCCCAATAGTGCTTCTGTTCTGAAAGTTAATGCTACTTTTTTTTTTCAAGTGAGGCAATCGGGGTTAAGTGACTTGCCCAAGGTCACACAGCTAGTATGTGTTAAGTGTTAGGTCTGAGGCCAGATTTGAACTCAGGTCGTCCTGACTTCAGGGCCGGTGCTCTATCCACTGCACCACCTAGCTGCCCCTAATGCTGCTTTTAGATTCACATGGTCTTCCGGCCCTGACTAAGCGTGTCCTAGGATTGTCAACAACACAACCAGGGAGCACAGGATCACAGGTACCTTGGAAATCATCTAGTCTGATCCCCTCATTTTACAGATCAGGAAACTGAGGCCTGAAGAGGATTTGCTTAAAGTCACATGAATAGGAAGCAGTAGAGCTGGGCTTTCTAATTTCAAACCTAAAAAGGTTTTTTCATAGCACTGAGAAGATTGAATTGATCCTGTATCATTTTCTCATCGATCCTATTTATAATCAATTGCTTTTGTCTTGTAATTACTTAAGTCAGTTAAGTTTCTTTGTTTCATTTCTTACTTCATCTTAATCACTGAATTGGCATTGCCTCAGTCAAACTGAGACCTTAATTTAAAAAGGCCAAGGTCTCCCATGACATCCGGGTCCATCTCCAGTTGTCCTGATCCCTATCTGGCCACTGGCCACAGATGGTTCTGGAGGAGAAAGTGAGGCTGGTGATTTTGCACAGCCCTCCTTCACTTGTATCCAATTCACTTGCAAATCATGACATCACCTTCCGATGCCATGGTCCTCTTTGAGAAAGAAGGACAAACAACAACTGAAGTCATGGCTCTCTGTCTCTGCACCTGGTTCAGAGATTCAGCTAGCCTGTCTAATCATTAGCTAATCTTGCTAATTCTTGCCACAAGGGATTTAACAGACCTTGGGAAATGTGTGTGAATGCAAGGGAGTCAGGCCTAATATCTTTACACCACCAAGCTATCCTTCAAGGATGTCTGGTTTGCTGTCCAAATGTCTAGCCTGCTATCTTGCACCTGGACTCAGACAATGACACATCCTGGTCTCATGAGAGGAAAAGGGGGTTGTTGCTAACCACTATTATCAAACTTCCAATCAATCATGTTGGTCCCTGTGCCTCAGCTCTGTAACTGCTCATGTTGTCCTTAATCCCATGATGTCATCTACTCTGTTCTGTACTCCCCAAAACCTATAAAAGGGGAGCTGTCCATCTTCTAGGGGTCTTTGACATTAATGGAGGCAAATCACTGACATGCAGCATGCCCCTGCTAATAAACATTATCTTGCTCAGAGATTTGCCTTAGTTTACCTTTTTGTTCAATTTTAATCGGGATAGCACTATTGTCTAGCAGTTTTACTTAGTTTTTGTCTAACTGAATCTTGACCATTGAAGTGCTGGTGGGAAAAGAAAACACACCCCCCTCCCAGCTGATACATAATATCCCCCCTAAAAACTTCTCAACTCAATTGTAGGCCTTATTTTACATGTTATCAAAACCACATTTGTTTTAGAAGAGGATGCAAAAAGGATGCACTCCGTGTCCCTGGACTAGATTTGATGATGCCAAAAGTTCTTCATACCTCCAGCACTCCAGAATTCTATGCCCAGACATCGTCTACCCAGTCCTCACACTCCCCTCCACCCAAAATAAAACCAAAAACCCTGAGCTTCACACATTATAGATCACTTTTCTATCAGGTGTCACTTTTAAAAAAAGAAATGCCAAAGGCAAGAGTTCAAAGTACCACTGAGTTTCTCCTCCCTATCCTCTGGCAGACCCAGCTGAACCCCTGGCCCAACCCCAAGCTGTGCTCCTTGACATCCGCACTGCAGGACAGGCAGCTGTCAGCAGCAGCATAAACCACTGACATCTGACCTAAGCAGAACTACCCTGTCATCATGGTGAGAGGAGCTATGCCTGCTGCCCAGGGAAAAGACAGAGAAGAGTGGAGATGGACCTGGGGGCCAAATCAATGCAGCCTGATGCCCATTCAACTCATGGCATTCATGACTGGCTGACTCAGGCATCTTCTGCAGATGACCCAGCAGTACACAGGTGTGAGAAAATACACAGGTTTAAGTCTGGTTCTGAAGTGATATTTTTTTTTAGAAAACTAAATTTGATTCATGATTCAGAGGAAATGATTAATATTCAGTCTGGATTTATGATTTAGTAAATCAGTACAATTCAGGTGGTGCCTGGTTCAGTCCACCACTCTACATAATGAGACTGGAGACAGATGCAGGGGAACCCAAGCCCTTCTCCTGGGTCTCTGCGTCCTCCGCAGGTTTTTAGGGTATGTCCTGTACCAAAGGAAGCTGAGAAATACTGTTAAAAGAAGTGACAGTAGAGCCAGGTTCCAATTCCAGTGGCACATCCAGTGTCTTCCTGAAGGAGAAGGCAACAAGGTGGGAGAAAGGACCTTAGATACCCTATTTCCCAGGTTCCTTCTGAGGATCTCAGGGATGCTTGTCCTCAGGGAAAAGGAGTCTAAAATTCAGGGTTCAGTCTATGGTAGAGCTGATGGAGATTCAGCTGTTCTCATTAATGGGAGTATGGTTGCCCCCCAGCAGGCTTTCCCGCTCATGATCCTCAGCTGGGGGCTGACACCAGGGCAGACGGGCCATCAGGGGCTGGTGCAGCCCATTGTAGAGAGCTGTGCCCACCAGGAGGATGAAGAAGCCTAGGATCTGCAGCGGGTGAAAAGTCTCCCAGCCCAGTGCCAGGCTGAGGGCCCAGATGACCACAGTACGGAGGCTGTCCAGTACCATGCGGGTGGTGGCACTCATCTCCTTGGTGACACTGATGCCAGCAAAGTTGAAGAAAGCGATGCTGCTAATGTTGCCCAGTAGTGCCACGATAATCAGCGGCTGCCTGCCCAGCTGGCAGAAGGCATCCAGTGCATCTTCTAGCACGCCTCGGGGGTTTCCACTGAAGGCACCAGCAGGGATGTAGTACATGGGCACCAGCAACAAAGTGAGGATCACAAAGCCAAAGAACCCTGGGGAGGAATGAGGGGGCAAGGGAATGAACGTTTTCATAGACCACAGGCTGTGTTCTCAAACTCCAAATGCATGTGGGCACATGCGACATCTTTCACTAAGTAACACCCCAGAAGGACTTGGTGTCTCAGGCCTCAAAATCTCTCCAATTCCTCACTACAATTAGGTTCTCATCACTTTTCACTGGGTTCACAGCCGCTTTATCACTGGTTTCATCACGGGCTACTGCTTCCAGTGTCCTCCCACTGCGATTCCTGTTGCACATCTCACCCAGATAAAGCTCCTCAAAGTACTATTTTGCTTATTTCACTTCCTGGCTCAAAAATCTTTCGTGGCACCCCAGTACCCACAGAAAAAAAAAGTTAAGCTCAACATGGTTTCTATATCCCAAATACAACCTGCATTTTTTAGCCTCATCTCCTATTACTCTCCCACACAAACTCTGGACTCTGACCCATCGGGACTACTCAATGATCCCTTCACAGGCATCATAATTTCCTATTTGTGAGTTTTCCTTTGCTTAGATTATTCCCTCTTCCTGTAATATGCCATTTTTCATCTATTAAAATCCTATACATTTCTTAAGGCCAACTTACATGCCATTTCCTTTACCACATATTCCCTGATCACTCACTAGATGGAAGCGATCCTTCCTTTCCTATTTCCTGCGTTACAAGACCAGGGACTGTGTCTCATACATCTCTGTCCTCTACACAGTTAGTCCAGTGTCTTGCTCGATGTATGTATGAGCTGAGAAGGGTATACTGGAGGTTATGAGGACCTTTTCAAATGGAACTCATTCCCAGCATTCTCTGGGCACCTCACCTCATTTCTGTCCCTTCCTCAACATACTCCTCTGTGCCCTCCCATATCTCACCCTTAGTTCTCTCTGCTCCCCACCATGCACTCTCCATGTCTCCTCTTCTTCTTCCCACCTGCCCACAAACGCACCTTCAGTACCCACAGCCCGAAGCGGGTGCACATTGTGCTTGTAGACAAATTTTTCCTCCAGCACCATTTGGATAGAGACAATCACCTGTGCCATGACGATCAGCAGGTCCCCTGTAGGAGAGAGAGGATCAGAGAGAGGTAAAGTAGTTGCACTGAGGGTAAGATTTCAGAGGCCATGGGAGAGGATTATTGTTGTTTGTCCTTCGTTCTCAAAGAGGACCATGGCATCAGGGAGGTGATGTCATGATTTGCAAGTGAATTGGATATAAGTGAGGGGGTGCTGTGCAAAGTTACCAGTCTCATTTCCTCCTCCAGAACCATCTGGGTCCAGTGGCCAGATAGGGATCAGGACAACTGGAGATGGCCCTGGATATAGTGGGAGACCTTGGCCATTTTAAACTCAGGTCTTTCCCAGGCAATGCCCATTCAGTGATTAAGGTTAGGTAAGAAATGAGACCAAAAAAAATGGCCTCTTTTACCTAGTCAAAAAAAAAAATCAATCCGGGAGGTAAAGACTCTCATGGTTTCTGGGCAAAACAGAAGATTTCAGAGACCACGGGAGGGGATTAGAAGAAAAGGTGAAAAGATGATGGCTGAGTGGGCCTTGTATGACTTCCAATGAAGAACTAGGACTGAGAACTATTTAAATACAATTTCTTCAACTCTTCATTCAATGCTTGGAGAATGGTTCAGAGTCTGTCAATGTAATGAAATGTAAGAGTGATAAGTGAACCCAAGGTATTTCACCAGGATGGAAGCAGCCTCAAGAAGACTGGGATCCACATCTGCCAGACACCCACGTCGCTGTGACTGTGGGCAAGTCCCTGAAACGCCCTGTGTTGCAGGCAAGTCTCCAAGACTCTCAGCTAGAGGCAGCTTCCTCCCCAGGAGTTCAGTACATCAATGCAATGACAGGGGGGCACCAAAAAGACGCAGGGCAAGACGGAAAAGTGACACAAGGCAAGCTCAGAAAGGCCTGAACAACATGCACTGACCTTAACTATAAATGGAAAAATGAAAAAGGGAAACGACCAATAGGCAGCTGAACTCCGCAGGGACTTGTAAGGGGCTATGAGGCAAAACCAGTTGGGGTTCTGTTTGTTTGTGGGTCTGATATTTTGCTCCTTACTTTGCATGTTTATTTGCCATAGTTTGTAGTTGCTAAGTTTATACTAAAACATTTAAAATATACTAAAATATCCATCATTTTTTCTTAAAAAAAAACCAAACCCTCAGCACCATCACTCTGAGGAGGGAAAAGGCAGGCAGGATTGGCCTCCTGGTGACAGAGTAGGGTGGGGCTGAGGACTCCCCTGACCACCTGCCACCTGGCCATGCCTGAGGCTTTGCTGGTGGCTGTGCGGTGCCCTGGCACAGGGCTCAAATGTACTTCTTCTCCTCAGCTCAATCTCTCTTAACATCAACTCCAACCTGCCCTATCTTTTGAAAGACCCGCTGTGGCTGGGTGTTGGAGGCAGCAGGCTAGCTGCCTTGTCAGTCTCTCTGGTGAGACTCTCTTCTTAGGAGCCAGCCAGCTGCAGAAGGCTCCGTTCACTACAGTTCAACATACCTGTGATCACATCGCTGAGCTTGTGTTGATCTTCATGCTTGCTCGTGAGGTCAGCCAGACCCACAACCACCAAGCCAGCAATTGTGGCAAAGATGCCTACCCACTGGCTTGGCACCAGCTTTCGTCCCAGGAAAGCCACAGAGAGAAGACCTGTAAAGATGATCACAGCCCCACGAAGCATCTGGAAGCTGGAGGCGCTAGTCATGTTCAGGGCTATAGAGAAGAGGAGAATTCAGTATAATTCAATAAACATTTCTTAAGAGTATGCTCTACAGGAGGGACAAGTTTAGCTAAGACATAGTCCCTGTTCTTGGGAAACAGGAGGTCTAGCAATAACAACAGCTGACATTTTCACAATGTTTTATGGTTTAAAAAGCAATTCACATTTAAGATGTGACACATAAATAAATACATAATCAGGGCCTAAGAGAATTCTAAGCAAAGTGTTATGGTAGGGTGTAAGTGGGGAAAACAGTTGTTACCGAATTAGGGCTGGGAAGGTGAGATCAGCGAAAGCACTGTGGAGGAGGCAACACTGAAGCTGGGTTTAAAGATCATGTAGGAATATAATGGGTGGAGGAGGAGAGGCTATAAAGGGTACAAGCAATCCCATAAGCAAAGGTTTGGAGTTGGGAAAGCACAGGATATCTAAAGAAGAACAGAGACAGTAATCCACTTTGGTTGGAAGACGGAAAAGAGAATGAGGATGGGAGGAAGGGTCCTGCTGCTGCTGAAACACTCTCCCCTGCCACACCTCAAACAGCTAGTCCTTGCCCAGGAGATCTGGCTACTCACCCACATACATGATGCTGGTCCCAGTCATGTCACAGAGGGCCGGGGGCAGGAAGAGCAGTGCACTGAAGGACTGCTGGGGCTCCACACTAGAGTCTGTGCGCCCCCAAATTCTGCACTGAAGTAAGTAGAAGGCTGCTAGGCAGGAAAACTCCCCCAGGAACATGCCCACTGCCTGGAATTAATGCAATCATAGACTCTTAGAGCTGGGAGGACACCAGAGGCCATCTGATCCAACCGGCGTAGGGCAGGGCAATGGCTCCCCACAAGAAGGATGTGGTACTTCTATGGTTTGGGATGGAGATGGAGATGCTGAGGCCCCAAGGCTTGGGGAGGATTTCCCCACTCCCCTCTGATGTCCAGGCCCTTCCTCAACCTAACCATTACTGGCCAAGAAAACCTAGCCAGCCGTCCTGCCCTGTGTGTCTCTACACGGCTATTGGGAGCAGGGCAGGGCAGAGTGGAAAAGAATAACCAGTGATCTTTTCTGAGTCAGGCCTGACTCAGTCCCCAGCTTCTGGAAGCAAGTGAAAGTTCTGTGGCTGTGGTATGGAAGAAGTGAACTTTCAAGCCCTGGGTGCAAAGGAAAGGGGACTGAGAGCTCAGCACCACAAAGGAGACAGAAAGCTTGAGGGGAGGTGGGGTTGGGAGAAGATACCTGGAGGAAAGGATGCTGGAAGCTGTGGGCCTGGCTTCCTGCACAGCCCTCAGTCACAAAGTTGTCAGCCCATCTGGAAGAGAGAAGAATGGCATCGATTAGCAAGGCTACCATGCTCCCTATTGAACCCAATTCAATATGGGCGCATTAAGTACTTATTTGTCCACCTAGTCTCTGCCATCAAGGACCTTGACAGCTGAGGAGACAACATGCCTCCAGAACGACTACCACTAATATCCTACATTTCCACAGCACTTTAAGATTCACAAAGTGCTTTACATGTTGTTTCATTTGGTCATTACAACAATCCTGTGAGGTCTCAGCCCTGCTTTACAGAGGCTAAATTACTTGTCCAGGCTCTCACAGCTACTAAGCATCAGAGACAGGATTCAGACTCATCTTCCTGGCTCCAAGTCCAGCACCGTATCTATCCACAAGGCTACATGGCCTATGATACAGTACAAAAGAAGATATGAGAGTATAGTAGGAAGGTATTAGCAAAATGCTAAGCAAGGCTGATGGTATGATACAGGAGCACTTTATAGCTGAAAAAGGTCTTGACTGTCCTTCTTCATCCTCACGTCAGCTCTGTGAGGTAGGCAGTATAAGGATCGTCTCCATTTTATAAGCTCAGAAAGGTTATGCCCCTTCCCCAAGGTTACACAGCTGGCGAGAGGGGAAGGTGGGGCTGAAACACAGGTCTTGTCCAACTAAGGCACTTTCCCAGACTTCCTGAGGTCACCAGAATTGCTCCCTCCTCTGAAATCCCTCTGGCACTGTAGCTATGTCACAAGCTACAGCACAAAATCCAAGTACTTTCCTGGCTTGCTTTTTTGGCCAATGACAGGTATTGTCTCATGAAGTATTACCTCAAAAAGAAAATGGTTGGTTACTTTTGAGAGTAAGGACTGTGTCTTCTGGTCTTGTTTGAACCACAGCATCCAGCACAGGTGTGGGCACATAGCAGGCAATTAGTGGAGTCAAGCAATGAGGAACTGGGTTTGGCAAAGCCCGCTTTCCGTTATGTTCAGGAGATAGTGGCTATCTACTGTGTAGTAGCATTACTACTGTGTAGGTATTACTTCCCTGGTCCCTAGCTCACAGGAGACAAACAGGCTGAGAGCCAATGACTCGGGAGGTTTTGGTCAGATGAAATGATAAATTAGATTTCTAAGAATGCTTCTGTACCACAGACAGTTTAGCAGGCCCTGGGGATAATAGCAGAGATAAGGGAGCTATGGCTGCAGTCAGGAAGACCTGAGTTCAAATCTTTCCTCAGACACTTACTAAGCTATATGATGCCGGGCAAGGCACTAAACCTTTCTGAGCCTCAGTTTTTTTTTGCTATAAAATAGGGTTACTACAAGACCCACCTCACAGTGTTATTTCAAGACTCAAATAAGATAATGTATGGAAAGTAAATCTTAGAGTACTACATTATTGTTACAAGGACTGGAAAGGAACTTAGAGATCATCTAGTTCAGAACCACAGAATCAGATAATTTGACAACTAGAAGGGACCTCTGTAGCCACCTAGGTCAACCTAAGCCTGAAAGGAATCTCTGCTCTACCAAAGCCCACACGTGGCACCTAGCCTCTGCATGACCTCTCCAGCCATGTAGCACATTCCACTTCTGCCTCTTTCTGCCTTCCACGAATTGCTGGAGAATTCTAAGGGTTCTGCCCCTAGGGGCCACAAGGAGCAATCTAATGGCTCCTTCACATGACAGCCTTTCAAATGCTTGCAGATGGCCATTAGGTATGTGTCCTCTGAGTCTTTTCTACAGCCTGAAAATCCTCAGTTCTTTCAATCAGTCCCAGTAGGACGTGAACTCAAGGCCCTTCAGCATCCTGGGGGCTGGATATCCCTGGATATTCTTCAGTTTGTCACTGTCTTCGTTAAGCCATGGGGTTCAGACTCGAATACACTATTCCTGATGAGGTCTGATGAGAGCACAGTACAGTGGGATTATCACTTCCCTATTCCTGGAACCTACGGACCTCTTAATGAAGGTCAAGATCACAATAGGTTTTTGGGCTGCCACATCACACCATGGTCTTGTGTTGGGCTTCTGTCCACGAAAACTTCCAGATGTTTACTAGAGCAACTGCAGTCTAACCATGCCTTTCCCATTTTATACTTGCGAAGCCCACTTTTTGTTCCATGCTGAGGTTCATCTTAGTAAATTCAGCCCAAAGCTCCAGTTGAGATGCTTCGTTGGGTTTGCTCTCCCTCCAAGCTTGGCATCATCTGCAAATCCGAGGAGCCCGTCATCGAATGCTTTTTATGCCAGGCCTCAGGACAAGCAGAGGAGCACCCTGAGCTTCTTCCTTGAAGATACCAGCCACCCAACGCGTTCTGAAGCCATCGGACACTACCATCGTCTAATCCGTATCTCTTTGTATTCTCCACAAAAATAGTAGAGACACTTTATCAAAAGTTTTGCTAAAATCTAGGTAGATCATAGTCATAGCATTTTCCTCATCTACTAGATTAAGAATATCATCAAAAAAAGGAAATGAAGTCTAACCTCATTTGGCATGACTCATACTTGATGAAACCATGCTGACTCTCTGGGATCATCACTTCCCTTCTAGATGTTCACCAATCATCCCTTTAACGACACATTCCAGGCATTTCCCAGCAATCTAAGTCAGATTCACAGGCCTCCTCTAGTCTAGTGCTATCCTCTATTTATGGGATCTTTCTAACACGACTGACAGTGGCTTAGCCATCATGTCTGCTAGGACTACAAATACTCAAGAATGCAGCCCATCTGGGCCAGGTGACTTGACTTCATCAAGGGCAGATCTTTGCTCTCTTACTATTTTCTTCCTTCTCCTGGGTATCCAACTGCTTGTTCCTCATTCTTGTCCTCTCATTTCCAGTAAAAGGCTATTCTCCTTTGCAGAGAAAACAGAAGCCAACCAAGAACTGGGCAGGTCTGCTTTATCTGTCGTCAGTGCTCATCATCATCCCATTCACCCCAAGCAAAGACCTCTCTCCTCTGATCTTTTTCCCAAGAAAGCTTAACCCCCCCCTTCCCCCAAGACTAAACCCCTTTGTGCTGTCCTCACCTCACCTTGCCAGTCTTAGCTCCTTCCAAGCTTTAGTGACCCTAACAACATTCCTATAGAACTGGGCCACATACCTCCATTCCCTCTACATGTCTTTTAAAAATCCAAGTGAAAAGCAAAATGGATAATTTTGATTATGTTAAATTGAAAAGTTTTTGCACAAACAAAGCCAATGCAACTAAGATGAGAAGGAAGGTAGAAAATTGGGAAAGAATTTTTACAACTGGTCTCTCTGATAAGGGCCTCATTTCTAAAATATATAGAGAATTAAGTCAAATTTTTAAGAATACAAGCCATTCCCCAATTGATAAATGATCAAAGGATATGAACAGACAGTTCTCAGATGAAGAAATTAAGGCCATCTATAGTCACATGAAAAAATGCTCTAAATCACTATTGATTAGAGAAATGCAAACCAAAACAACTCTGAGATACCACATCACACCTATCAGATTGGCCAACATGACAAAACAGGAAAATGATAAATGTTGGAGAAGATGTGGGGAAATTGGAACACTAATACATTGTTGGTGGAGTTATGAAATGATCCAACCATTTTGGAGAGCAATTTGGAACTATGCCCAAAGGGCTATAAAAATGTGCATACCCTTTGACCCAGGAATAGCACTTCTAGGGCTATATCCCAAAGCGATAATACAAATGGGAAAAGGACCCGCATGTACAAAAATATTCATAGCAGCTCTTTTTGTGGTGGCAAAGAATTGGAAATTGAGAGGATGCCCATCAACTGGGGAATGGCTGAGCAAGTTGTGGTACATGAATGTGATGGAATACTATTGTGCTATAAGAAATGATGAACAGGCTGACTTCAGAAAAAACTGGAAAGACTTGTATGATATGATGCTGAGTGAAGTGAGCAGAACCAAGAGAACATTGTACACAACAACAGCTACGTTGTGTGATGACTAATATTAATAAACTTAACCCTTCCTGGCAATACAAGGATCTAAGACATCTCCAGAGGCCTTGTGATGGAAAATGCTATCCACATCCAAAGGAAGAACTATGGAAGTTGAATTGCTATTTTTTTTTCTCTTCTGTTGAGTTTTGTTTCCTCTTTCTGGTGGTTCCTCCTATAGGTTTTAATTTCTACTTATAATATCACTAACGTGAAAATATGTTTAATATGAATGTAAATATATAGCCTATATCAGATTGTGCCCCGTCCTGGGAGGGTGGTGGGGAGGAAGGGGAAGAAAAATTTTAAACTCAAAAGCATATGGAAGTGATTATTGATAAATCAAGATAAATTAATAAAAAAAATCCGAGTTGGGGAGTTCCCTGTACTTCCATGTCAGTCTCTTCAGACAAATTCCATCTTCCCTCCTCATTAGAAACTTTCCCTTTGTAGCTTTAGCATCTTCCATCAATCCTCTCAGGCTGATTTCCCTGAAGCATTTTGCTCCATGGGATCCTATCTTTCCTCTGAAAAATGCTTCCTGAAAATGGAGGGTGTATGTCAGATTATGCCCAGATTTCCTCTCCTTCTCTATCACAAATTCTATGATGGAGGGGTCACCTATCTGCTACTTCCCCTGCCCCCATGATCCTACAATTTTCTGCTGTTTGTCTCTATTAGTGAGAATCAGATCTAGAACAGAATTTTTCCTTTTTGGTACTCTGCCTTTTTTTTTTTTTTTTTTGGCTACCCAATGGAGTTAAGTGACTTGCCCACGTTCACAGAGCTATTAAGTGTTATGTGTGTCTCAGGCCAGATTTGAACTCAGGTCCTCCTGACTCTAGGGCAGGTTCTCTATCCACTTCGCCACCTAGCTGCCCCTGATACTCTGCCTTTTAAAGAATGAAGTTTTCAATAAGGCAAGTCAAGAAATTATTAGCTGTTCTGCTTTTGGCACAGAGAATTCCAGCAGATGCGGGGATAATCAAAGCCTCCTGGCCCTCCTTCCCCCTCCCATCATGACATCTCACGCCTCTGTGTCAGGTGTGTGATTGTTTCTCAAACTAATCTGTTTC